AAGTTTGGGCCCTAGAGTCACACCAAGGCGCGTTACTTGAATCCTATGAAACACAATTTTATGAGGAGATGTATTTGATTGATACGCATATATGATTTTTTCCGCGGATACATATAAACGGTTAGTATATCGTAAAATCGAATTGCTATGTGCTTAGAAGATGAATGGATTTCCCAGTATTTTCGCCATAAAATTAACTTTAGTACTAACGTTACTTGGTAACTTTGGCACCAGTGACTTTTGTCAACTCTTTGCATTTATTTGGTCATATAGCTGGACTAATTAGCTTTAAAGATTTGGAATAATACTATATACCGTATTTATGACAATACTGTATTAGTTGATAATTAATTTTGGTATTCTCATTTTATGAAATACACCAGTACCATGTATAATGAGTCATGAGATGAGTCACTTAGTGGTATGGTTTGAGCACATGGTTTATTTAGCACATTGTTTTTGAAATGCTAATGCATTCATAAGCGATGCATTCATTGCATGACTCACTTGATTAATCATTAATTTTGATGATTCATTACATTACTCATAGGCGGATGAGTCATTCATATTCATGAACACATTTCACTCATATAATATCGAGCTCTTTTTCTTATGGAAAGTGTTAGGATGAAAAATGGCTAAGTGTTTTTTTTCATAAGAGAATAAAAGAGAGCCTCTCCTTCTTAGCTAAACTTAGCCAATCTTTGAGCAAGAGGCAAGTAGTAGGATTTTTAAGAACCCGGGGTGGATATCTTGCCTTGTGTCTTAAGAAGATCTCCCATTTTATCAAGCTCACTTGAAGACTTGGAGATCCACTATCAAGGCCATGATTTCTAACTACAAGCGAGCAATAGACGCTAGCGGGTTATTCGATCTTTCATCGAATCACGCTACGAAGAGTTATGACTTTCTAAACTCTTGTATGCTCACTTAATAATAAGGATCATGTTAGATTTAATTAGATGATTCCAGTATGAATATTTTGCATGCTTCTCTACCATGGCTTTAGTATTTTTGTACATACATGTCTTCCGCTGTGTATTATGCATGTAGACATAACACGATTTCCTTCATCATCTTCAATGAGATCAGGGTGAACCCAGAGGATTTCGCCGTTTGGGGCTGTGTGTGGTACAAGCCCTTTTTGGCGCTGTCCATGTGGGTCATCGTTCACAGTCTTCATCTCTACTTTGGTGATGCGCTCTGGTTTGAACCATCTTGTGGGCACCGATCCAAAGCTGATTGACACCGCATTTGCTCCAACATTTT